GAAAGGTAGAATTATGCTAATGGGGACCAGTGGATAATACCATTCCAAGCTGAGGAGAAGCATTTGCTTTTATTGGTGGCCTCTAGATGACCATCCTGTCTCTAATTTCCAGTGGTAGAAGCAACACCTCATCATCTTTCTTGAAGTAGTTGACTCCATCACAAAAGGTCTGTTCTGGGTGGTTGGGGCACACGTAAATAAAAATTGACAGTATTTTGTACCCCGACCATGAATTAACTGATGTTCACATTTTCTTCAGCTGTGCAGGTATCAATCCGGCAGCACTGAATTTTATTTATTGGGTTAATTCAATCCAAATAAATGAAAAATATTGGTAAAAGTTGTAAGTAGGAGGTTAAGAGGATATGAAACATTTTTAATACCCCTTCCCACTTTCACAGTCCCTACTTACAGGGACAGCCTTCCCAATTGGGATTTTCTCTGCTTTGTTGCCTTGGAAACAGCAAGGACCTGGTCATCCTGCCCACCCCCACTATGTGCCTAGCATAGGCATGATGTCTGGACCTGGTACAGGTATAGCACATCTGTATGAGTAAATGGCTATCCCAGAATAACCCTCCCACAATGGTTCGTTTTCTCTACTATTGGGACCCGAGCTAGAATCCCTTTCTAAGGCTATCTGGGTTTGCAGAATGGCACCAAGTTGAAGGGATTCTCCTCCTGAGATGGTCTGAATTCTTCTGGTGTCTCTTAGTTCCTTCCCCATGCACAGCCCATGATCCCAGGAGTCAGGAGGCCGAGACCGCTTATTTCCAAGCTTGGATTTTCTAGTGTTGCAATGGAGATCCCAAGATCTTAGGCTACCCCAAGGTGTTTACTAGAGTTACAGCTAAATTTGATGTCTCAGATCTAACATGTGCCATCCTCAAGACTTTCGTAGTTCCATTTTTCCTTGGTCTTTAATTTACATTTATTCACTGAGCATTGTCACAGCATATGAAATGTAATTTTCCATCCATAAAATGCTGCATAGTAGCTTAATCATACATGTTATCGTCAATAATTTTCTATTTCTAGATTCAAATATATATGTGTGTGTGTGTGTGTGTGTGTGTATATATATTTCCCCCTATTTCTCACCCTCTGCCATTTCCCATGCTCCTCCCACACTATCTCAGGTGTCCACAGTTTTCCATTCCTTTTTTCTCCCCACATTTTATTGATTCACAAAATTTCTTAAATAATCTAACTACTTTCAATAGCAAGCTCTGCTGATATATACATATCTATGAATACATGTCTGACTTAAGGCATGAAACTCTGAGTAGAATGAATATACTATATTGTAGCACCTATCTGATGCTATATAGTTTACTATGATCATTAATTATATATTTTTTACTGTATTTTTCAATTTCAAGAAAAGAAGATTTAACTTTAATAAATCAATGCAATGCTAACGGAATATGCTTAAAACTTAAAGCCAGGAAACAGGTTTGGGATGCTGTTCAAATAGCAGGTACATGAATCTATCGGCAGCTCAAGACAAGACAAAAATCCTTAAAATCGGAAAACAAAGCCTAGAAAAAGCGTTTTTAGTCAAGTCATAAAATTCTATTTCATCAGTTCAGTTTCATGTACTTTATCTTTTTTTGTGATTCAATTTTCCCAATTAAATTCTGAGATATAATATCCTTGGTCTTCTTTAAACTATTTTTTTTTAATTCATGATAGAGCATGTGAACATGCGAGAGAGAGAAAGAGAGAGAGAAGAAACCCTCCATAGGGCTCAGTCATGCCATAATGCCTTAATCTCCTTCCTCTAGTCTTCTAGTACACCAGGATCCTTGATATGTATGTATCCACATCCACCTGGCATATCCTCAGTCCATCTGGGCCAGGGACTCAAAGTGTGGTCAGCATGTGGTTTCTAGTTTCATAGTGTGCTATGCTATCAGCTATACCACAGAGGCTGTTCCTTTTCTTTTCTTTTCTTTTCTTTTCTTTCTTTTTTACAAGTAAAACTTGCATATATTTATGTATATAACATGATGATTTGATAAATGCATGCTGTAGTATGGCCAAATCAAGCTATTTCACGTTACCATTTTTGTTGGTGAGAACTCTTAAAATCTACTCTCTTAGCAACTTTCCTATATATAACATATTGTTATTAACCATAGTCACCATGACATATAGATCTCTTAAACATATTCCTCTCAACTAACTCTAACTCTCAGTCAAAATCCCATGACACTGGTACTAAGAGTCACTTCTTGTGTTCACATTTTCCCAGCTGCCTCTTTCATCCTTCTAAGAGTACATCTTGACCTACTATTCACAGCCCAACTCCATGAAGCACTCAACAATTGTTGAGGGCTTAGGTTGTGCCAAATACTTGCACATACTTTAAGAAGTTGTCCATTGTAATCCTTACTATGGACCTGCAGACTGGTGTAATTATGCTCCCTAACAGATAAAGAAACTCAAAAAGATGAAATGCTCAAGGTCAACAAACTGGTAAAAGACAAGAGTCCCAATCTGGGCACCACTTGGAGATTTTTTTTAGAGATATGCTCCATTCTTTGTCATATATAGGGTCACATACAAGTCTGTGCCCTGTGCCATCCCTCTTTATCCCAGGATCACTAACAGAAGTGGAAAGAGAGAACAGACTGAGTTCGGAATCTGGGTCCCAGATAATATGGCTTTCCATGAGCTCATTCTAATGCAATGCTTCTTAGTTCCCCACCCCGTCCACCTTATGATAATCATTTCTCTGGGAACCCTAGACGATATGCAACATATACATATGCAGAGAGGTAGAGAGATAAGGACTGTCTACTGCAACCACCCAGTTTCTCTTAATGGGGCCTAATGATTTTCCCAATAGCAGGTGAGACTGAGGGTTATAGCCCACATGTATTGATTAATAGGCAAAAAAAAAAAAAAAAAAAAAAAAAAACAAAACCAAAAACCACAAAGCCACTTGCCTTGATTTCCTACCAGTTCAGGCTAAATGCAACTTTGAATCTAGGTTAAGACAAAGCCATACATATGCTAACCTTAATGGGCTCCCAAAAGAGCCATTTGCCCCCTCAGTTGTTTCTCTTAAAACAATGCTACTTACATGCCCTGCCTAACCCACCCCTCCCCTCTGCCAACCCATGCATCCTGGAACACTGTTCTCACACCCCCCCATATCCAGCACTGCCCTGAATGCGTGCTTACAACAATCCCAGATGCCAAGGTTCTAAGTCAAAAGTCACGAGTGAGTTTGGAAATCCAAGGAAGCCACTTCTCGTAAAGTGATGGGGAGGTGGGGCAAGAGTGCAGGCCACGGCCCTGTCATCCCCGAGTCTTTACATGCCAAGAGGGAGGCTGCCAGCCCTGGGGGGTGAGTTAAACCTGAAATTTGAGGAAGGACAGGTGGATCCTATTGTGACTAGGAACTAATTAGGACACCCCAATCCTAGGCCATCTCATGGCCCTGGGCAGGAGTATGAGATGTATAAAAGGTGGGTAGGCTCAGAGCATCTCAACCCCTCGGATCTCTCTCACGCTCCAGTCGCTCGTGAACTTCGGTAAGTCTGAAGAGGTAGCGCCTCTTAAGCAGCCTCATTCCACATGAGTCCAGACCCCAGAATGGAAACTGAGGCTGGAACTGTGGAGGGTCAGTCAGAAGGAACAGCCTTCGAGCATCTCTTTCCTTCCATATCACTTGTGACCAAATTATTCTGGGTCTTGCAAGTTATGCAACCGAGGGATATGGGATGAGGGCTGACAGGGGAGAGGAGGATATCCAGGAAGGACGTTGTCTTGAGGATCCTGCCAGCATGGTGTGGGTATTATACGAACTTTGAAAAAGTTCATAGAAAATATATATTAGGCAAAAATTATGCATGGATTTTAAAACTTTGTTGCACCAAAGTGAATCTGTATTTTAATTCCATTTTTCCACAAACTTTTTGAAGTCTCCTTACATCGGATAGGTGCTGAGAGAAACTGGTAGGAAGGGGTGGGAGCTTCAGCTCTGGGCAGAGCAACTGGCAGGGCTGCCCTTGCAGTGAAAAGACTCCAGGGAGAAAGAAAGCAGCCTACCTTGGGAGGGCAGAAGTGTGGAGGCCCCAAGGGGCAAAGAGCAGTAGGATCAAGGCACCCTACTTCTCACTCAGTGGGAAGCTCCTGGGAATCAGGAGACTATTATTTCCACCGCTCTGTGCTGAGTGGCTCTGAAGCCATTCTTTGCTCTCTGAAGTTTGTCTTCCTCAGCTGTAATTAAGAGAGTCGAGCTACATAGTACATTTCTTCTGTCTCGAGATTCTTCAATAAATTTCCTAGAGATGTTCCTTTAAATTTTTTAAAAATGTATTTAATCAGTGGAAACCCTTACATAATGTGCATTATGTGCTATGTACTCTTGTCTGTGTCTGTACATACGTATGTCCACCTGGATTTGTGTATGTTTGTATGCATGTTTGCATTTTGTTCTTTTTAATCGTGCATTTTATTCATGTATTTATTTTATTCTTACAGCATTCTTAAGAGAGGTTGGTATGGAAATGTAATTTGCTCAGTCACATAGCTTGTCAGTAGTTTAGCCAGGACTCAGATTCTGTGCAATTCTATCTCAGATGCCACAGTTTGGGCCATAGCAATCTATAACAGTTTGCCCTGGCTTTCCTTCTCTTTTTTTTTTTTTTTTTTTTTTCCCCTCTCTCCTCTTTCCTTTTCTAGTTTTACACTTTTCTTTTCTTCTCTTATATCCTCTTTCTCTCTCTGCCCCTCTTTACTTTCTTCCTTCTCCTTCCATCCTTCCATGTTTCTTTCTTTGTTTTGAAAGAGCTGAAATGGCTCACAGACAGCTAATATTTGCACAACCCTACACCGCTCTTACATTTGTGAAGTGATGAGGACAAGGTTAGAGCAGAGCAGGACGAGACTGTGGCCAGAGGACCACCTAGGCCCCAGGGTCTCTATAGGCTTACACGCTCCTCACATCTGTGTCTTTCTGCTTCCAGCTGCAAGTCCAATCCAGAATGTCTCAGCAGAAGCAGAAGCAGTGTGCTCCCCCAAAGCAGTGCTGTCCCCCACCTCAGCAGTGCTGTCCCCCACCTCAGCAGTGCTGCCCCCCACCTCAGCAGTGCTGTCCTCCACCTCAGCAGTGCTGTCCCCCACCTCAGCAGTGCTGTCCCCCACCCCAGCAGTGCTGTCCCCCACCAAAGCAGTGCTGCCCCCCACCACAGCAGTGCTGTCCCCCACCAAAACAGCCCTGTCCCCCACCAAAGCAGTGCCGCCCTCCACCCCACCCGTGCTCCCCCCCCC